TGCGATGCGGTTTCGATGACGTCAGTGACCATCATTATCTTCACCCCCAGGGCGTGGGGGGAGGTGGTTGGGAACCGCATTTTAACGGGCTCCGACCACTGACGTTCAATGGCGTCACCAAGGCCGTAACGCCTGCCAGCCACCGTAATCACTGCCTCTAGCAGCGTACTCTAGTAGAAAATCCGAACGCACAAAGCAGAAGCGTGCGCGTAAAAATACTGCCCCTATTTTGAAACTTCTATTTATAATTTGCTGGTGCTTATAATTGAATGTAGCAAACTCGATTTCAGGTCATTACTCCCAGTGTCTGGCTCAAATTTGCAGTTGAGGCATCCAAAGAGAGGAACATGAACAACCGCTTCTCCGATGCGTCCTCCATGGCCGAGTTCGTAGCTTTTCAGAAGAATGTGAGCTTGTTTTGTAAGTCAAACGAGAAATTACTGAAACATTTCCACAGGGTGCTAAGCACTGTGAGAGACAGTGCTTGCGCTTAGAAAATATGAAACTATGGGAATAACATGGTGGTTCACTCCAGAGCAACTGGAAGCAGTGTCAACCGTCTATTCGCTCCATTTGAATGAGGGGGTCGTTCGCGACTTCGGGAAGGGGGGTCGCATTTTGGGGTTGAGCGAGGTGAATGAACCTTGGGGAATGGCGAGAGGAGGTGGGTAAAAGGGGTTGATACTTAGACGGGTTTTTCGAGAAATATGGTGGAAGTCACGAAAGGAGCATGAATTAGGCAAAACTGGTGGGTTTGCCTCATCAGACTTACCCAATTTCCCCTCACTCCGCCGCTCGAACGACCGTTTGGAGGAGAAGTGCGCGCAGTTGGGTGTTCCGACTTGGGTATCAGAATCACCTACTGCAACAAACATTCATGGTGATCCGAGAAGGGAGGAGGCCGCCTCCTGATGTCTCATGGTGATATCGGCGGGTCCGCATCAAGACCTTTTTCCCTAAAAGGTTGGGAATGCGAGAATTCCTTGCGACCAAGTGTTGAACGCCGACGGTGAACCCCTGAAAAAGATAAGGTTGAGAAACTGATATATTCAGTTGTTTTGTACGCTGTTTCATCGCAATCATAGTTGTAATGGATTTTTTTTTTTGCCAGCCCTCATAATGCAGAAGTGCAATCAATACAATTCACCTGGCCAAAGCTTCCTGAAGGGAAAGTTAATCATTCCCCAAGTATGAATTACTTCCCGCCTTCGATTTTTTAGTTGCCCTTTAATTCTGGAAACAATGTACAAGATGTCGAAAATGCTATCGTCCTTTATAACCTGCAACCACTACCCTACCAATTCAGTGTTCAGATCTACTGCATGAAAAAGTTCACCGAGTCGAATCCATTGAAAGGATATATCATCATGGAGTACCTTGAAAATGTGGAAGTAGACATTCTTGCTAGTTTTTCGCTCAGAGAAGTCAGACAGGTGAGTACAGCCAAAGTTTTGAGCTGCACGACCCATAAAAGATCCAGAGTCACAGTTAGAGGACTTGGTGGTTTGGTGGCGCGCGGCCACAAAAGCTCCTGAACATTTAGCCCATGGTCTTACTTTCTGACATGACGTCATTTATAAAGAAGCTTGTCATGATCCTCCGATCGTTTTCGAGTCTTGTCCTTTATACGTTAGTCGCCATCGTCGCGCGCTTGGTCATTATCAACGCCATGCCATCGTTGCCTCGCCAGCACAGACAGTGGTGCCGGGACCTAGGTTTGTGAGTCAGCCTCCGAGCCCGCCAGCTCTCTGCTGGCTATCCACCTGTGGCCTGCTTGCCCTTCGGCAGCTTTCCCTTTGTCTTGTCTCACCGTGGAAGATCCCCTTTCAAGTTTCTGCCCCACTTGTTCCGAAAGGCGTTATTACGATGCTATATTGGGACTCGCACATGGAACATGGAATCGTGCTTCATTTCTCCTGAACGGCCCTCTGAATTCTAAAAAAATAAACCATAGTTCTGTGTTTGTCCTTGCGAACGTGAGATTGGGTCGTAGTTCGATTCCTCGTGACGACAAAGTTTTGCATTTTGAATTGACGCTCACATGATATCTCAAAATCGTACCTGCGGCTGGTAATGGATCCCATGTTCCCATCAGGACCATAAGTAACCCTACGAGTAGCTTTTTATCAAAAATTCGTGCGAAAATGATGTGGCTCTTGAGCTTACTAACCCCCTTTGGCATGCAGAGGGCAGTTCAGGAACAATAAACTGGAGTTCTGCGTTGCTACGTGCGCCCCTACATTACACGAAAAAAGGCTTTCTTGCATGAGGGGTGCGACCCGAAGGACCTCAGTTGTCAGTTGCTCCATAAATGGAGTTATTTTTGGAGCTTTGTTGCTTGTGATATAATCAATCAAAGGCCTTTTAAATTACAAAGGGGTTCTATACTTCTGAAAAATCTGCTAAATGGAACCTATATCATCCTGAAAGCTAAATTGCTTAGTTGTAGGGAGCCTAGGTACACGCGCCTAAGGAGGTTACCTACTTAAGAAGCTTACCTAAGTGGGGAACCGTTCATCAGCAAGCGTCCCTTGGCTGCCGCCGTTCCCTTACTCTACACGACATTATCCCGAACGACAATATCCCAGACAGTGTCCCCAAATGCTCTGTGAATCGCAGAGGAACAACAAGCAAAGAGAAGGAGTTCCAAGACGGTAGGGAGCGCTGATAAAGAGTGCACAGGTGAAAAACGAAGATAACAGTGATGAAGTTGTGCTTTGAGTACAGTGCGTGCGTGGACAGAATAAACAACGATTTAGTGTGCAATAACGGGAAAACAATCCAATTTGCGATAGCGTTTTTCAGCTTCTTCGCTTCAAAGCTGTCCTTGAGGCCAGTTCCATCGATGTTCCACCGGAAGAGCGGAAACAATTCCTTCAAGCCCCTTTCCAAACAATGTGTGCCGTATTTATGCCCAAAGAGGTTTGTGGTACATTATCTACGTCAAAAATTATAGGTTTCA